GGAATTTAAGATCTGGTTGCTCCTGGAGGGCCTTAGTCAATGATTCCATCATTATCTTTAGGGATGGCACCCTGGTCGGTGTCCGTCTAACGAAGTCTTCCATCCTGGAGTTAGGGCACGTGTCCCTTGGTGACCACGAATAAGGTTCGCCACTCTGCCCCTTTCCATTTCCGCTCTTTATCAGGCCACAGAGGTCAAAATTACGGGAGGTCTGGGCAGAATCCACAGAACAAGGGTAGGTTAAATGTGGTTCGGCCCTAGCTCCTCTTCACTAGCCCCGCTTGACTCTCTGAAGTGCGGTCAAAAAATTCGATTTTGCGAGTTTTTAACAAAGACAACTAATCTGGAAAAACTTGGAGAATATCACCTGTTACTGTTTTTTCCTGGATTAAGGGATATTAAAAAGCGCACATGCAACAAGTGAACGGATCAGATTTCTTTGAGGGTGCCACAACAAAAAATGTCCTGGCTTACACCAACTAGAACCTTTTAGATAATAGAGCAAGCCTCAAATGGAATTATTGAACTCGGGCTTACAGCGCAGAATTGTTAGCGGAGAAAGATCGTAGCAGTTCCTCAAACTGCCAAGGGGGAACTTTTGCTCCAAAATTGGAAATCCCGAAATAGCAAGGTGTAAAACCATACGCTGAATAGGTTCCATTACTTTCGAAGTTTTCCTGAATTTTCTCTTACTTAATGTTATAGAATTTTTAAATTGCATTGGAAGCAGACGAAGAAAAGAGTTAGTGTTGTGGTTTGTAAAGTGAGCATAGAATGAGCCGCATTTTCTGGAGCTTCCGTAATTTTACTCAACAGTTTAGTGAAACGCTGAGGAATCGAAACAAATTGAAAACCTTTGGGACCTACAATATTTTTGTTTCATTACCAACACTAGGATCAATCATATCGTGAATCTCATAAGGTAGCTTCTGGAACGAAAATGATAAAGTGGTATAATGAGTGGTAGTGGAAGAGTAGTAGGTCCCCGCATAGTCCTCGAGTGGCCAAAGTAAAGGAGGAACAACCATGAAAGAGGAAAATCGAGAAACACAACAAGTTGTTTTAGATGATTGTCTAATTACTCGTATGCAAAGTAGAGGCGAAGGGGAAGGCTGGTGGACGAAGTCTTGGACTTTCATCATTATTACACAACTGCAGTAAACTGCTACCGATATGGAGGTTTTTGCATGAGAGATGTCATTGTTGTGAACAGCTGTTCCCTGAAAGCCCGCAGGTGAATAGCTTTACAAGAACTTTGTGCTGTGATGTAAATAACTTCTGTTGTAAAGGTTATACAGCAAGTCAGTGAGTTGTCTTCGCCGTTTTCTATTTTAAAAAGACTTGTTTCACAAATTTCAGCAATACCATCAGATAAAGTTTTTGTGCTTCTCGATCCATCCAAATTTTTCTAAGTTATCGTTTTTTATGGAAATAGCAAGGTGGCGGATGTGCCTTGTCATGCCATACTCGTCTGGTATGTGGAGGCACATCCTAGAATAGGATTGATCGATGCCAAAAAAACCCTTCTTCCATTGATCGATATAACTTTTATGCCTTTACCAAGGTTCTCTTTCACTGAGGGTCTCAAACGATCGGTAGTGAAGCTACAAGGAGCGACACCGAATGGAGGTTAGTGAATAAATCACTGATCAAAGGCACCAGTATATGCCCAGGAGGCAACTGGATCCCGTAGGTGGGTTTCTTACTCCGTAGCTGATCCTATTCATACCTATAGTCCCCTTGCAGACGCATCCAACTTCGAATGTGGAGAGTTTGCGAGTGCGGCTGGTATCCAGCACATCGGTGCGACGGGAAGCCTGCAATCGAATGACTGGAAAGTATTCTAGAGTCGACACGGAACCGTCTCTAACAAATAAGCCCCCTGTCCTTTTTGAAGTGACCCGATCAGCTCTCCAGAGTCTACTCGGCTCCACCTCAGAGCCTGGCAAGTGGCCCATGAATACCCATACGCCACAAACCACAAAGTGAGAGGGCTTAATTCCTCTGAACATAAGAGAGCCCTCGATAAGCGTCAGGTAAAACCGCTCGCGAGAGATCGCTAGAACTTTCGGACCATAAAAGGAGGCCCGAAAGGAGAAGGACTTGAATGACACTTTGCACATTCAATGTAAGAATGCATGCTTCATAAGCCTGTGTCGAAAATCTGATGCTAAACTTAGGAAGATAGGAACGATGTCTGGACGATGATGTACCCGTTGCACGACGTTTGAGACTGGAGAAAAACTGTTCTGCAGAACATGCGACAGCCGAGGCTTTGGCTGTGCATGTGTTCTCATCGATCATCGATCCCCACCAAGGCTTGACTATTCGAATCGAATCTGTGGTTCTGAAAGTAGAGCTCAATTCAATGCTAATCCTTGCTACTTGCACGAAGTAGAAGAAGCGAAAGTGTTCCGAAGAGACCTGGGAAAACTCTACAGAGACCATCACGCTTCTTTAAATTTCATTGCAGTCGATTGCTC